TTGAGTCATTTTAACGATATGTTTTGTACAAAACTTTTAAGACTAATTGTTTTATCCAGCACATACAATGCTGAATTCTATTTTTCTTTTCAATATTTGTAAATAAGTTTAATTTCTCAACTTTCAAATCAAAATCTGATAAGTGTAATAATTTTAAATACCTTCTTATCCAGAATGTGAGGTTYACATAGTTCTTTGATTAATAATATGAACAATATTAAAAAAAACTCAGATGATAATACATAGTGAATTATTTATAGTTTATATACAAAATAATAGTATTTACGAATCATCATAAATAAGTACAATCATTTTATTTTTACACCTAAAAGAACCTATTTAATTTACAAATTTCTGTTCGGTCCCGGTATTTATTTTAAAAAAGTTCCAGAACCAGCGTTTTTAGGTTCTGTTGCAGTACCTAGGCTCTATTGAGTTTTAAACATACATCATTTATAACATTATCGTATGAGTAATCGCTCAGCTCCGTAAATGAGAATTTAATCGACGTAGGTATAGAAAAACACATTATATCGTTTTAATGATCCATGATGGACCGTAACAGTTTGTATTTTTTTTTTCAATAACAGTATGATAAAAACTGTGACCCATTATCTGTACATCATGTACAAAAATACTTGCCAAATCGATTTCTCGAAAAAAAAGTCCAAAAATTATAAAACTGAATATGCTTATCATCACGTTACTAAAAACTTTTATGATTTTCGATAAAATATAGCTAATAGGTAAAATATATCTGATACGCATTCATATTTCATAAATATTTCAAAATTACTTGGTTTTTAGCACCTACACATGAAATAATATATTGTAATACTATATATCTATGTCTAATTTAAACTTATACAATCCAAGTAGGGGACTCACTTGATGATATCAATCGTTTTAAAATCGTTACATTTAAGGAAGGAGAAGTAGAGTGCAATAAGGGATATTTAATTATACTATTAATAAATCCTGCTGGAAGCATCGTATTTGAGTAATATCTCTTCCGACGTACAAATGACGCAGGTTAGCGTTGTATAAGATGAATAATTAAACTACAACTTGAGTAGGTACCTGATCGCTTAGTATTAATCTAACAAGATAAGACCTTGGCAGTAAGTTTCAATTTGCATACCAGTTGCTCGATAATAAATCCTAAGCCCCTAAACGGCAATTCATTGCTCGTTTAGAATCGAGTTGGCCACGCCAACGAATGATGTAGAGAATAATATCATTTCGAATTCGGAATACGAGGAGCAATGATAATATATATGCATAAATATATATTTATTTGTTTTTGTTTTCATCATGTATATGTAGTTACGCTATAACAGGTAATTGTTTTTTCAATTTTTAACTTTACTGCAATATATAATATATATATATTATATATAGTATATATACTTGCAGCTTTGCGATCGTTTTCCTGGACAGGAAAATTGGGTGGTTGATTCTTGACTTTTGGTACGGTCGATTAATCCTTTTGTGGATAAAGGAAGCTTGTTAGAACTCAGATGCTGTGCTTGTGCGTGTGGTTAGATTAAAACGGACAAAGGACCGTGGAGTGAGGACGAAAAGAGCGAGATGGAGAGAAATTCGGAAATTGGCTTGTTAAAAGTTGCCATGTCGTCGTAGTCAATTTATATATATCCATGACACAATATATTATATAGGTATATAACAGAATTGGTAAACCAGGTTTTGAGTTTTTCCCCGGAGGGCCAGCTGCTACTATGAAACCGATGAACCGTGAGAGAGAAAATATTTGATGAACCATTTGAACGCTTATATAGGATAAATGGATGCAGCAACGAGGAATGAAATAACCTCGTATATAAGTCAGAAAGGCAATCACAATGTGATATTCAAAATAAAACCATATATTGACAACATAACGTCACGGGGAAATGTGCATATTATAATATTGCATTTTACAAATCGATTTTACGACTCTATACGTATATGTATATATTATATACATATTTTTACTATTATCAAATTCTTACGTAAATATAAAAGATATACAGTTTTTAAAGCAGCTGTGTCATGATAAGCGGATCTGGTTTGCTATTTTATATTATAATAGTAATCATATCTCATATTTGTTGTGTGTCTATATACCGCAGGTGATAATATTAATTTTGTATTAGACAATTTAAAATTACTAGCTTTCAACTTATTTTAACATTTTGATTATTTATTTTATAAACAATATATATTTGTATGATACTGTTGTGGACATTGATTTGATCATTTTTACGTTTAGTGCAATTATTTAGAATAATAGAATTTAAAATAAAATAAAAATAATAGAATAAGAATAATAGAATTTAAAATAAAATTAATTATTTAAAATAATAGAATTATTGTAGTAAGTGTCATATTTTCAAAATAATAATTTGGTTACAGTAAATAATTATATTATTTTGTACAAATTCGATATCGCGAAGTCATAACGAAGTCCTTTATTATTCGATAATAGGTACGTGAGTTTTAACAAATAAAGATACGAAAAATCCAACTGTGAATTTTTAACAATGTGATTCTAATTACTTGTTTGAAATCAGTCAATCATAACTTAATTATTAGCATTGAGCTTTGTCATTGTTACTTTTATACCATCTATTATTAAAATTAACTAACTAGGTACTTACCCAATAAAATAATAAAACATATACTGCAGATAAAATCAGATGCATATTATTATTATAATAACATGTAAGCAATCCAAAATAAATTATATAAAAAAGTATGTGTGAACTTCTTTATTCGTCGTAGGTACTTCAGAATAAATTACTATTTTAATTATTATTATTTCATTTAATATTGTCACCAGTGAACGACATTGATTTATCATCATCAGTAATCACAAGTATTTGAATGTTATGCTGACATGTTTTTTTGTCAAGCTATTTTAAATATAGTTCCCAAAACTTACAAATTACAGTATTATTAGTTACATAATAGTTTATTAACCGGTAAATTAGAAAATAAGTATATAGATTGTTTTTATTTTAAATTCTTATGGGTATTTTTTGTTTCTGTAACCATTGTATTATTTTAATTTAATACTAAATAATATAAGCAGAATAAATTCTTAATTGAGAATCATCAATAATTTTATCTCACATTTAAATGTAAAGTATTTCGTTTTAGTCACTATATGCCAGACACAGTGTATACTTATATTGTATACTTGTGTGAATGTTTAGTTTGAAATTCGAAATGTTGGAATTTGATATATCAGATACAATATATGTTATACCGTTGGGCATGATTTCATAAATAATATTATAGACCTACCTAATCTGTTTATGGTTCGTTTATATCATTGATATTAAATTTAATTCAAACTGTATTTAAAAATATGTATACAAATCATATTTAACCATATTGTATATTGGATCAAGTTTACAAATAAATACGATCTCTCTGTGGCTAAAATATTGTATTTTGATTGCCACGATCGGTTTTGACAGTTAAATTGTTTATGTTCAACATAATAATAATACATACATATTATTATAATATACCTACATGCATATTAAGCTATAATCATAATTAATGGGTAGTCATAATACATAGGTACTTAATAATTATCAACATGAGATGATAATATGTTTGTGAAATTATTTTTGGAAATATTATATAATTTATTTAAGAAAAAAAGTTCTAGGAATCAAGATTCGTAACTCACTATAATGTGATTTATTCACGAACACTTCACATGGTCAGTTGGAAGAACAAAACGTGTTCGATTAAAATTCTGTGAGACTGCCTTCAATTGTTGGCTAAGAAGAGAGTATATAGGTATTAAAAGAGAAGAATCATTGCATTTTATTGCTAGCTTCTGGGACGGAACTCGGGCGTTTGCAGACATTATTATTATTATTATTGGGGTTATTGCGATGTGCATGATTTCAAAACATTACGTCGAGGACTTAGGAGTATTGGGGTGCGGTAGACTTACTGGAAGAAAATAATTTTTGATCAGTAACCTGCAGTAGGGGAAAGAGACGGTTGAATTATTCACGATATTGTTTTAGGATTTAGGGATGGGATACGGATTCCAAGTCGTAAACATAAGATTGATGTCTATCTTTTAACATAAAATAACAGTATATTTAACTAGTATGACATTTTAATAAGGCATTTTTCTTATTAGGTACCAACCTTATAGGTAGTTAATAAAAGTAGTTTTTATAAGTAAAATATAAACTTATTTTAATAATTATTTACCTAAATTGTTTAAAACCAAGATTACTATATGTTAACTACATTTAAAAATCATTTAGCTATACAGTTATACTATTATAGTTTTATACATCTTACATACCTAATTTTTAGTTATAAATTACGCTTTGAAAAACTCAATAAATATAAATTTGTTTATTTTAGATTTGGACATTTAAATTTGATAAATGTAAAATTGGTATTGTATTAAATGTTTTCGACGACAACCAGTAAACATGCTAATTAAATTCATAGTTTATAAAGTTTACGTGGATTTTACAAATTAATGTAGGTGGGTAATATGGGCCCTTAAAAATTTTAGTATAGTAATTAAAGTTTATTTTATACGTGCATCGTTTAAGTTACGATTAAATAATAATAATTATAAATGTGAACCAATTTTATTATGTTTATACACAATAGTAATATAAACTCAAAAGTAAAAACCGTATACATTTTAAGAAAACATTTTACATTTAAATTTGACAACATAAAAGGTAATTGCTATAGTAATAATAAGCTTACTATATATGCATATGTTTGTAAGAGATGGAAATTCTTAATCGGTTATACAGTAATAAGTTCTTAAACTTTTGGAATACTTTAATAAAGTAATTTCAACTCAGTATGCATAACTTTCAGCAAACCATTAATTAATTTTAATAACATAATATTTGAGATTATATGAAAATAACATACAATATCACGAGACGTACTCATATAATTAAGTATTAACCACGCCTATTTATTTTTGATTTTAGGTATACAACATTGGCTAAAATGGTAGACACCGATACGGGCAACCTTTTCATCGTCGGTTCATTTAATAAACGTACTGATCCAGATTTTAAAGTAAGTATAATATATTTTATTAAATTTTGAACGTATAATTGTGAATAAAATAATAATAATTGTGAATCGTTACTGTGAGCATTAACAGTGTGAGATCTAAATTTGCGGCCATGTTTTATTTCTCAACATAAAAATATTACATGTATTTTTCAGAGGATTGTATATAGCGTCACAAAATAATAGCACTTTTCTTTTATGCATTTGTTTTTCTTACAAGCAATCACATAGTTTGTTCTCTTTTTATCAAGACAAAAGGATAGGTTTAACAAATTCGGACTCTGGTGGCAATCATGAAAATAAGAATGGCCCCTAGACCGCCGAGGTATTGAAAAAAAAGTTGCGAAAAACAAAGAAGTTTTGTCAGATGAATAATGTTCGTGGAACAAAAAATCTATAAAATAGCTTAAGAACTCAGAAACGTTAGCAGAAAAGAGTGATGAACTTTTTTGTGTACATTTTCCCCCTTTTTTCGTGTCTGTCGAGCACTCAAAACTTTTCAAAACTAAATTCTCATRCATAGTTTTAGAATTAGAATCAGATTCATCAGGGATCAGGTATCTGAATAATTTTTATGTAATTGTGTCATTTTCTTCATAAATACAACATGATATTTAATTTTTTTTAATTGAACTCCAAATTAATTAGAAGTTTATAAATAATTTTATAACGTTTAATATTATTTACACTTTTTCAATAAGTATTGATTAAAACGCCTAAAATTTTTTATAAAGAAATATATAAATAATAAATATATATTTTTATAGTGATGAGTTATGTCGTTTAGAAATAAATTCGATTATCTGATCATAATATTTATTAAATTTGGACCATTTAGCACAATTGTAATACAAATTAGGACAATATAGATTTTCCAATTATCATTACTATTGTTATTTTTTTTATCGAAGATTGTCCTTATATTTTTGTGCGTTCTGTGTTGGAAATTATTTTGTTGTTTATTTTCATCGTTGGTTTTTATTAATTCTTTTGTGTGAGAATATTATGAACTGAGATGACTCTGGTGAAAATTTGAATTCTGTATACCTCTGCTCCAATCGTTAAGCAAGATGGTGTATTTATTAAGTTATTTCTCCTATAGTGTCTATATAGTTATTTCAGAAAAAAATATTATTGTCATTTGCATAAACTGTAATTTTTCCAGATGTAGGTAATGTTATACATGCCACTTATTGCGATAAAAATATTTTTACACTAATAGAAGAGCCTTAGGCAGTTGCGTTATTGAAGTTACATAAGGACGGGTGTTGGCTATCGACTAAAACTTTAAAAGTCCGATCAGTTAAAATTTGTATATGAAATATAAAATATAATCTTTAACGCCTCAATTAGGTAAGATTAAGATAAGTCAGTATCTCCGTGTTTATCGTATGCTAGTTATCAGTCCCGTGTATTTTTTGCACGCAATTAATTCACATATTTCTGTATCAATATTTACGTTTCTGAAATAGTGAAATCCGAATTGTTCCTCTGTGATAAATTCATTTTTCTCTAGGAATCAGTTAAATYGAACGCTGACAATTTTTCGAATATTTTACTGACTGTACAGATATAGACTTATATCCTTAAAGGCTTAAACTATATGAATTTGTTTTGGTTTATGCATTGGGACGATAACTATACTTGTTTCCATTTTGTTGGAAACTAGTGCTGTGTCCAAATTATATAAAATATTTTGAATTATGTAGCTTTTCTTATTTGGGCAGATTTTGTATGAACATGTCATCCGGTTTACAACAGTCGCTCTTATGCTCATTTATAATATTGTCGATTTCTTTTCTTGATAGCTATAATTATTGTTATCTATCAAGGGCTTAAAAAACTGAATTTATTAAATACATCTGCAGAGAGTTTATTAGAAACCAATCAATTAATGAATCAAGAATATGATGCCTTAGTTTTTTCATTAAATAATTAGGAAATAGTGCAGTAACTTTATTAGATGCATTATAATATTAATTACCAATTGCAGTACTTACAAAAAGAGTAGATTCAGTATTATAATAATGTATATTATATTAAAATAGATAGGCAGAATACCATTAGTAAGTCCATTGAAAATATTTAGATATAATAAAATATTAATCAATTATTTAAAAAAAAAATTAACACATTACCTATAGTACCTATAGTGTCTAGTAAAATAAACATATTATATATTTATGTCAACAATAATTGAGTCTATAATATATTGACGTTTAACATATTATAATAATACTATAAATGAGTAAATGACATAGGTATAGTCCAATCAATTATTATCAAATTAAATAATTTTTAAGCTTCTATACCAGTGGTTCTCAAGCTGTTTTGGTTCACGGCACATTATTATACATCATAACTCATAAGTTTTCACGGCACACTTAACACAAGTGTAATGACATAAATTACTGTTTTCAATATTTTTTTACCAGCATAATTATTAATAACAAATATATCAGAAACTTCTCGCGGCACACCTAGTCGATCTCTCGCCACACCGGTTGAGAACCACTGCTCTATACATTTAAACGAAGATTATATATATAACATAATATTGTTTAAGTTTTTAGAACTTCAATAATATTATATTATACATATATAATTGTACATTCGCTAGCGTATAGCAAAATATATTTAAATACTTGATAATTTTAAAGAAAATTATAAATCATTATATAGGTATAGATACTATTTAACACAAATTAATATAGATCGATCATTTTTTTTTTCGTTCAGATATTAATCATTGTATTTACGTTATCAATCTTCAGAACTAATCAAATTACATTTTGTGATGCAGTTTGTTGTTGTAGTTATAATCCTCAAAAACTAAGTACAGCGGATATTGTTGTTGGGGAGGGGGGGGCTTGCATTATAGCGGATACGTATACTTGCGAGTATAACAATGTTTTAAATCCGGCTTTACTGAAGCTGTAGTGGCTGGCCGAAATAATGACGGATTTTCCGAACCGAACCGAAGGGGAAATATGAAAGGAACACGTGTAAAACGGTATAAAATGCCTATTTATTTTCTCATATATTTTTGTTTATGTGCATTTTTTTCAATCATGTTTTCTCGCGGTCCATTGGGTTCCCAGCGTTTTCCTCTTTCGCTGCAAATGTGCGTCGCAGGCTGATAGGTACCTGTTATGCCGCCATAAACGCTTTTCATATTTTTTAGGCTTTAACCAAAAATATTTGTCTGCATACCTTTTTAGTTTTATATATTATTATTATTATTTACGTAGTTTTTTCCTTCTTTTTTACCTCACCGCTCAAAAGAAAACCGTAAACGATTCGTTTGAAAAAAAAAAAAAAAAAAAAAAATGGTGAAAAAGTTATGAGGAATGAGTGCGTAGGCAGTTGTATAGGTACACTGTTTTTTCGCATCCCCAGTGATCCGTCATCGTGACGAGCGCGCGTATCGTTCCACTCGACCGACCCCCATGCGTGGTATAAAACAGATGGCCGTGTGATTTTTCAAGTATAACTTAGATTGCTACACGGCTCCTGACGGGGTTTATATTTTTACTGAGCACCAACATCAACATCTTGATTTCACGAGGTCAAACTGCGTCAGCATGGTATAAATTATATGGTTGAAACGCCACCACAGTAGGTAGGTAAATGCCCTCATTTATATAAAATCAAATCATAACCCGAGCCAGCATTTTACGACGAATAGCAGTTGTGATATAAAAATTCGTACCTTTTAAAATATATTTAAGAAATAAATTACCTAACTAAACCATTATAAGATCTACAATTGATGAAATTATAACATAAACTAATTATATTAATTTATGTAATTATTATAATAGAATGTATCAACTATCAGTAGTCCCTAAGCTCGTATCACTTATGTTTGAYTTATATATAATTTTGCATATAGCTATAATAATACTCACGAGTTCATGACCAATTATGAGTGCGTAATTTTGAAATAACTAATGAAATGTTGTTAAATAATTAATAACGTTGCGCCTATAAAAATACACTTGTAATGTTATAAACCCAATTCGTTATAAATCATAATACTTATATTATATTTATATATATTATATAACCTATCATGACGATTAAGTTATGTGAAGAAATATTATTGTTCTACAAAATCATTAAAAAGAGTTCATACAAAATACAATGTTAGAGGTTCAAAATTACTATGCGACAAAACATACAAATTTTTTCTATAAATTTTGAATAATTAAAATACACGTTTAACTTAATAGATTAAATTTTTGAGAGATACCTTTAGACCATATTWAAAAATTTTTTTTTKATGAATATCAATCATATTTAATATCTAATATATTCTCGTTCAATGGACCAAAATAATGCCTCAAAATTAAAATAATGTTATCAACTTATTTGATTGTATAATGGAAATACTGTTGAAATATAATATCAAAGCATATTATTTTATATTTTTATCCACATAACTTTTCACTAATAGAATATAATATTTTGTTAACTCTTTTCTCTCCAAGCTTTTATCGTGGCATAACACTTAAGAAAATAACAATAATAATTCTACTTAAAGTGATTATTTTGGGACRAATAAATATATTTTCTAATAAACGAAYCTGATCCATAAAATATATCATAAAAAATATACACATAGATTAATCATATACTAATTAAACACAAGACTTTCATATATGATATATCATACTTAAGACTTAACATATTTAGTAGGAATACATTTTTAAAATTAATTTTTTTTATAAACGCAAATAACCTTAGGAGTTAAGGTGTATATAAACAATTAAATAAATAAAAAAATTGATTATTTGAATCTGAAAATTATTATTTTAAATTTACTTAAAACATAGTTTTACATATAAACGCTTCATTTTATATAGCTAAAGTGTATAAACATTAAACATATCAGAATAAAATCTTTTGAATATTATTATTTTTTTACGTTTGCTGTCTTAGATCAAAATAAAATAAATTATGAATTAAATATAGATTACTTATTTTAATATACCAAATGT